CCCTCCGTGTTGCGTGGCCGTCGAGCGGTGTCAGCGCTGCCTGTCCTGTCAGCTGTCGCACACCCCTTCTCTCCACAGCCATCGCCGCGTGTGCCGGTGGCCATTCCACCGAGGAGCGCTGCGGGCCCCTCGGGGCCGGCCTGCACAGCGCAGCTGTGGGCCGAGTCAGGGCACCCCTACGGCATGGCACCGGCACGACCCCAAACCCTGCAGGGCTGCACTGGCACAATCCAGCATCGGAGCTATGAGAACTATTTCTCGAGAGAACCCTTGACCTGGGCTCCGAGCCATGCCAGCATGGTCACCCCTCTCCCATGGTCACCTCTCCCTCGTGGTCACCCCGCTCCCATGGTCACCCTTCATCCATCATCACCTGCCCCACGGTCACCCCTCTCCCATCTCTCTCCCTGCACTCCACGTTCATCCACGGTCGCAAAACGTCATAGCAGTGCAGAGTGGTTTTGCAAGAGCTTGTTTTGTGTGACTCACTGACACAGTCGGGTTTTGACCGATGTTTTTGCTGAGTTGCGACACAGGACTTTGTCACTTACTCCGAAATGTTGCCCCGAAGTGCTTCAGTCACACCGGGATCGTGCGGCTCCTGGGGCGGTGCTGTCATACGCTCCCTGTATAGCAACCAAAGCGGTTTCTATTTTAAGAAGAAAAGAGTGATTAAAGTGTTTGCCTAGGCAGGTATTTCAGTCTGCTTTGATTCCCGTGTGACTCGTGGCAAGTCACATACCCCCCCACCCCCATGCTTCACTTCCCTACCTAAGGGAAATAATATTTTCAGGGATAATAATGCTTTCCTAACCCACAGGCATGTTGTGAGAATGAATGTGAAAAATGGTCCAAGGTGCACAGACACTACAGGAAGTGTTAGACGTAGGTTATAATGGAAGATGGAGAACTGAACACTACAGATGAGATTATCCTTCAAAACAGGAGAAATGGAGAACCTGCAGAGAATAAACACACAAGGCAGCCTGCTGAAGTGGGGAAGGGATGCCACAGTACAAATAGCAAGGAGTGAACTTTGCATCACTAAAAGTGTTTCTTCAGCATGTCCCATGTATGATTTTATTTTTAAAGCTTTTACATGTCTGATGTCAGTGAGTTAAAGAAGTACCCCAAGTTTGTATGGAAAAGCTGCCTTACGTATCAAGTGAACTGTTATTTTTGGCAATAATCAGGCATATCATTTACAACTGGGAAAAATCTTTCATCTGTGTGACAAGTATATTTGGAATATTCAGTAAATTAAAGCAATCAACCAAAATTTACTGGGTTAGTATATAATGATTTAAATGGTTATAGCAGTATCAAGCAGGAGACAACAACATTTAAAAAAAAAGAAATTAGGCGCCTGAAGCCAGTATTTCAACTGGTATCTAAACTGATCCCAGTTTACTGCCATTAAAATTGGAGCTATGTGAAATTACATTCCTCTGAACCTAGGCATCAGAACATCTTATTTTTTTCTTTTGTTTTATATTTAGTAGTCTAAATTGGTATTACACACGCTCATAGAGAGGAAATTTATCATTAGTTCACCTGTCTGATATTGTTTACTGCAAATACCTCCAAACTGCAGAAAAGTTTTGTACAACTGCTGAACAAGATCTTAATGCATCCTTTCTGGATGTTGGAGCAGACCAAGAAATCTGATAACTGATGATGATGAGATATTTCCCTGTGTAGCCAGTGAGGTGCTGAAGTAAGCAATAACAACTGAATGAGAAGTCCATCTGTGTAACTTTTGTTTCATGCGCACAATTTCTCCAGACATTTGCATTTAGCTGCATGTCTAATGGTAGCCTGGCAGAAGAAGTAAAAACTTCAAGTAATCCTATGCTTACTCTGCTGCAAACATTTTTTTCAATCGATAATAAACGGATACTGAAAGCCGTGAGATTAAAATACTCGAGTTGAGTGCTTTTTTGTTTGGCTGGTTTTTATAAGGTGTGTTTCACTAAGAAAATGCTAGATGTACAGACTTTAATATTTGTTCTTCATTTTTCTAGGTAGCATCCAGTGCTTTGCTGCTGTGATACACAAAGCTCTTCTTAAATCAGTGGGATATTCCTATGTTTATAGTTAAGTTGTGTTTAAATGCTTCACTGCATCAAGGTCATTAAAATGCATTATGGCCCAGAGGACTAAGAGTAAATGAGCTGAGACCCACTGAGAACTGGGTGCCCGGTTATTGTGTAACCGTGCGGTACAGCCAGGAGGGACGCACCGCAGAGCAGTGGCATTGGTTAAAAAAAAACAAACATCAAAAACAACCAGGAAACTACAAGTGTGAGGAACAGATTGCAGGACTGGACATTCAGTGTCTGCGCGGAATTCTGAATGCAAAGTCATCATAATGATACCCAGCTCTTACACCTTGCTTTTTACTTACAGGCATGTAAGAACTTAAACAAGGAGGTAGGTATCATTATCTCTGTCTTCCATATAGCGAAACTGAGTCATTAGATGTGGAAATAACTTGTCCAAAGTCACAAGGATCAGAGATTGAGCAGGGAATTAAAATCAGACCTTCTGAATTTCAGTCTAATGTCACTGCTGCTCAGCAACCCAGCTTCTCTTAAAACTATTTTTTTTCTAATTCGTAGTTTCTGAAGCACCGTGCTATAAATAGAACACACATACTGTGACAATGTTTGCTCTCTGCTTTTAGGCAGTGCTTTCATACATTTCTGAAGCACAAACATGCTTTGCCTTTTGAGATCTCAGAGGATAGTCCTATCACTTCTTTACAACTGATATTTGACTATTTTGTTTCAATAACCATATTTTTCTCTTTCTGTTTGTACAGCGTTTTGCACCGGATTTCATCAGCAATTGCAAAATTCTTTTCATACATCAGCCTTTAGTTTTCAATGAGGATTTTAGGTTCCCATGGAATTCAGGCTCAGGCCATGCTCATTCTCTTCACAGTTAAAAATGTTTATTTGTTTTCTATAGGGTGAAATAGTTGGATGTGATTGAGGCTCCCACCTTTTTCATTAATTTAATTTCCATCAGTGGATAAAGCTACCGAGCCAGGTGCTGGTCTCACTTACAGTAAGATATCTAAAATGTCTTTCTGAAGCTATTTAACGGAGCTACCCTGCTGCAACGTCTGTCACAGTCTGGCTGGCTATGTCTAAAAATTAAAAACAGAATCTATATTCTTACCAGACAAGAATTTACTTACAACATGAACTGTGGTCATTTAGATTCGAAGACAAATTTATGAAAGACTCTGTTTTGCTAAACTGTGCTGATGTCTAACACATTTTATTTAGGTTTCTGTCTGCCACGGCTTTTACCTGAAAAACATCATACCCCTAAAATAAGCTGCTATCATGAAATATTTTTATTTGATTCTCTAGTCAATCCTTTCTTAAGCTTTATGATAATTCTGGAGATTGTACTTTTTATTCATTGATTGGTGATGTCAGAAACCAGTAGACAGATTGGGTACAAGAAGTTTGCTTGCCTCTGCCCTGCCAAACCAGTTCTGTGGGTCAACAGCAGATTCCAGTTTCAAGGCTGTCAACCATGCCTTTTTCAAAAGTATCATTTTCACTAAGAAAAGCTTTTTAGCAGTTTTTAGTTTTTGTTCTTTTGCATTGATTTTTATTTGCATTTATTCCATAAGCAATATTTAAACTCCAATATCAGAGCTGTCAGCGTAATCTTAAACTTTACTTACAGATTCACATAAAGCAGAAACATTAAGTCATTTCAGTGCCAGATATAAACTATTAAATAATTCCATGTGTACTTTTTCAACAGACATAAATTATTGACCAGAAAATGGCCCAGCGAAGCCCAATCTTCCCAACTCTTGCCCCTTCTGAAAGGTACAGTTTGGAATGTAAAAAATAAAATCTTCATATTGCAGACTATTATGTGTGTCTCAATTCCCTGTACATAGTGATGCTGTGACTTGGGACTTCGGCATTAGGAGGGCAAAGTGAAATACTGTGGACTCATTCAAATCAATGGCCTAAATCACACTTCCTTACTCAGCTTTTACTTAACCCTTTCCCAAAGAAATTAAATAGCTTAAACTGTAACCAAGTAGAAGTCCAAGAATACTATACTTCAGCCAGTCTTCTGATAGCATGGAATTGAGTATGAAAACTCAGAGCCAGAGTGACCTTTGTTGAAGTCCTCATACATCTCATACATCAATATCATCATGGTGAAAGTAAACTGGTAATTTGGCTCATTAACAGGAAACAACATGGAGAACACACAGTAAATAACCGAGTTCCAAGAAAAAAAAAAAATCTCCTCTTTCAAAGTGGGGTTGAACTTGTATCTTCCACTTATGCTTCTGACAATTTTCTTTATTCTTTACAAAATATAGAGGCAGGAAAAGACCACATGCATTAGCAGCCTGATTTTTTTTACTTTGAGCACCCATAAGCTCCATGGCTTTCCATGGAAGCTATGCTGTGCAGAGCTCTCTTGAAAAATCTAGACAATTATTCAAGGTACCCAAATGTAAGCTGTTCTGGGTTCTTTGACATCTAAGACTATGAGAAGCTTGTCATAATTTTGGTCTTTCCTTGTTTTCTACACCTACGTATGCTCCTGTTCAGTTTAGAGGGGAACAAGCTTCTGGATGGCATTACAGGATAGCTGTAGAGACTGAGAAAAGGAATGGACGCGAGCTATTCTTTTTTAACCTTGGTCTGTTTCCATTTAGTTTGCAATATCTACCTTCTACAGTTACTGCTTTGATTAAGCCTGAAAACTGTAGAGACAAATAGCATTACTTTTGAAACTCAAAAAAAGAGTTTTGAATTTGGATTCTTAGTAATCAAATTATAGTTCTGAATTGTAACTACTTCTGTAATGTTAATGTCCTTTTATTAAGATCCTATGCTTTGTAAGCTTCCTTAAAGAGTAGGAAAAGAACCTGACCCGCCTTCGTACAAGATACACGCAGTAGCCAACACAGCGCCCACTTACTGTAGCAGTGGGCTCTCTCCGCGAGTACTTTGGTGCTTCTCCCCAGTATCGCTACTAAGATAGTATGGACTGTCTCCAGTGGAAAAACATTGCAGAGTTTTGTGTGAGAACTTAACAATATCTGGATATTCTTCTTCACTAGACGTGTTCGAAACATAGCACTGCACAGCCAGGCGTTGACAGCGGTCCCGTTGGCATCGGCAAGCCTGGTGGATCAGCTGGAAGACAGAATCCTAAGCCATGAGAAAACAACGGCGGCTCTTGTGGAACACGCTTTTCGCATTAAGGAGGACATTGTTTCCACTCTGCACAGAATGCAGAACAAAGGGGGGGGCGACCGGTTGGCTAGGCAACTCTTGGAAGAACATATCCGAAACATAACGGCAATAGTGAGGCAGCTTAATCGGGACATTGAGGTATGTTAAGAATTTTTCACAGGACTAATGCCATCTCAGCTACTTATTTCTCCTTATTATTTAATACAAAAGTTTACTGCAGGATAAGTAAAGGTCAGACAAGGTCTGAAGATCCTGTAAGCTTATAAGTTGTTTTTATAACTTGAAAAACTGTTTGCAAATTGCAAAATTCTTTCAGTGGCTATGAAAATAGCACAGGATATTAGCATATAAACACAGAAACCTTTGTGGTGCTAATAAGCTTGCCTTCAAAAGCTGTACTGGAAAACCTTGAAAAAATGAATTAATGCGACACTAATACCCAGCTCAACTTCAGTCCAAAGGCTGTGCTGTATAAACACCAGGAAATGCCTTAGCTCTATAATAAACTTTCTTTCACTTCCGACTCACTGATGATACCAAGTAGCCAAACCAACTGCTCACTTTTATGACCTAAATCATATGCAGATACATAACTTCACGCCTGACCTCTGCTGCAAGGAGCAACGGGGGGTGGGGTGGGGGGGTGGCGGGGGGGAGCGAAAAGATAAAAAGGAATATTTAAGTCTCCTTTCCATCGTCAAGTTATACTTTATACATAGTATGGTATTTATGTGCAGATCAGACACTACGAATAAGAAAAAATAAATGACTTAAATGGTATGTGGTTTAGTAGGATACAAGACAAAGCTTTTAATAAAGTAATAATAAAATGGTATCTGATGTCACTGAAAGATTGAAACATAATGAGTGACATTTTAAGCGTACATTGAATGTGACATGCTGAGTTTATATTTGCATATGAATGTTTTGTAGATGCTGCAGGAACAGATACGTGTCAGAGACAATCTCAGCTACGGAACAAATTCTACCCTGAAGAGTCTGGAAATGCGGCAGCTTTCTGGCTTAGGAGATCTTCGGGGAAGAGTTGCAAGGTAAAAGTCAACACGGAAGTATATTTTGGGGACTAATGTTGTTTTAATCTTGAAGTATGAATGTTGATGATAATGGGCTGAATTCCACTTTGGCAAAATTCCCAGGATAATTTTGCTTAGTGTTTTCAAGATAATGAATAATAATGCTTTGCATTCCAGTATTACACATTAAACTTAACAAAATCACCCTTAATTCCTGAAATTAGTTTTTAATAAATTACCTCAAATTCCTTAGGAATTTGGATTTGGTTCAGCTTTAAAAAGTACTACGGTTAGACTGGTCTATCTTTGAAACAAATTAATGAGCACAATTATAAAGGCAGCATGGAACAATCTGCACTTGTAAAGAACAGAATAGTTACACGTTTTTGCATATAATTCAGAAGTAAAAATCTGTGCATTCAGTTATTGGTTAGCCATATTACATAGGCTACTTGACACGTAAGGAACAGAAGACTATAAAATAATAGAGGTTTTACAGGCTGCTTGAAAATCAAGGTTACAATTGTGCAACTACACAGACTTCAGGTTGTGCTATCAACGGCACGTTTACAAACCCCAGGACCACAACATTTGCTTCAGTGTCTGGGAAGTTGAACGCAAAAGGCAGAGGATATGTACGCCTATAGAAAAAGGACCTGATCTAGCCTAAAGCAGCTTGGCTAATAACTTTGCTGGAATTATACTTGTCCTGAATTTGACCTATGGTCTATATTGTACAGAAAACTTTTTCTTTTTTGTACTCCAACTGATTTAGTGATAATCTTCAACTGCCTACAAAAATAATCCGGGAGGGCTTTTCCTTGAACTAAAGTTTTCTCATAAATTACTTGATTGCTTGAAGTTTCCACTGTAACTTTCATTAACTTCACCCATTTTGTAAAGAATAATTTACAGAGGTTTTACATTCTCTTTTGTTGTTTTGTGGTGGTTTTTTTTTTTTTTTTTAAGTTATGCACTATCCTTTAGTAAACAGGAAAGAACTAGACAAGTTTGTTATGTCAAATCAGAAAACTGATCGAAATATATGTAGAAGGAGATATATATACACACACATAGATCTGTCTCGCTGAGAAATCCCTGAGAAATTTACATGCTTAGATCTTCCTGCTTCTTTTTATATAAAGTCCACTTTGAGATCACACTACATCCTGAGAGAGGTCCATATTTGGAGCAACATAGTTACTGACACCTTGTGAAGCAAAACATCGTGCCTTTGCTTCCAACAACAGAACTGAAGCGAATGAGCGCCGGCCAGCGTGAGCTTCGCAAGGGGACCCTTGCCCTGCCAAGCACCTGCTGTGCTTGGATCAGTGGTGGCCTCTGCCAGGATTTCTTCCATTATTTACTTAGGGCAGTGCCCTCGTACTGGGCCTGGCTTGCAATTTATCTGATAAGCGTATGAGGCTATACCAATCTGCCTTACGTCAGGCAGTGCAATGAATGTTGAATATTTGTATTCATTACCATAAGAGAATCAGTTTATTGTCTTTTAACTGTTACCTCCTATTCAGCGTCATGCTCTCTACATAAATATTTTCCCTGAATAAGGAAGAAAGTAAGCTTCCCTTTATCAGAAATCAAGTTAAAGCAGTGCTGCATGGGAGAAAGTTATTTGCCTTTATTTACAGACATATTCTACTTTGAAAATTAATGTTCCTGTGAATGGCTATAGTAATATCCAGAGATCGTGCTCAAGATGCCAGTTTGTTATGCTGTTGGCACTACATAGATACTTACCAGAAACTTTCCCTGAGGTAAACACTTTCTGATTACTCTAGCCAGTATTCCTTATATAAAAGAAGCTGAACTCACCTAATGTAATTTTACTTTTACATTTAGTCCTGCTAGCTTTCAGGTGAGTTCAAAGAGCAAAACCTTAGAAACATGATCGAGTTACTGTGGGTTACCAATCTACTGTACACCAGCTCTCAGCCACAGTCAAGGTGCTACGAATGGCTCGGGCTGTAGTGACAGTAGGCGAATTTAACTCCAAGTACATTACGTTTGCTCTAGGCTAGAAGTGTGCAGATGGACAATCAGTATGAATTAGTTTATATATAGGAAATCACCTAAGACTGAGCCTTTAGATCCTGTAAAAATTTTAGTGTCAATCTCAGGATTCTGGCCAAATTTCAGTTCTAGTAATAATGCATTATATTGCATCCTATTCAACTTCCATATTGGAGAGAGTGGTCTTTATTTCCTAACACCAACTGTTCTGTAACATGTCAATATATCATCGAACAACTGCCTCATCATTTCTTGAGGGCTGCTGCTTTTAATGGCGAGAACAGGGCTCCCTACATGCACGTACAGCTCCAAACCCACGCCACCCACAGGAGTGAGGTTCGGACAGACCGTACAGTTGTACTCACCTCCATCACAAAATCAACTAATATCCCTAGCAGGAGAAGACTGAATACACATTACAGCTCATGTCTCTGGGCCACTTCTTATTAAGCATAATTTATTAATGAATTTGTAAAGCATCAATACAGTGTTCCCCATGAACGATGCTGTACATTTTCCTAAGACTCAGCATTATTATTAAGGAAAATATTACCTCTATTAAATTCAGTGACACATTCAGCAGAAAACTAGATGCATGCTGATAGATCCATTATGCCAGCCTCCTGTCCCCGATGTTGGCAATTTGATATAACACAGATTTATCAATTCTATTTCTCATGATATTAGATCAGAAAACTCATGAGTAGTGCCTTATCATTTGTTTACAGAATAACTTGTGCACTATGGTAATTTATTTGGCAAGTTTAAATACAGCAGCCTGGTCAGAGCCATAGCAGTAGCTGTCTCTAGAAGCTTCCCAATAGCTGAAACATCCAGAGAAATGGCAACTATGCATGTTCAAACTGGGCCTAATTTGCATATATAGATGATTTTTATATACATTATAGATCTGATTCATTTCAGACACTCTGGACTCATTACATGTAGGCAGATTTTCCCACACTGCACAGAAAATGAGCCAGATGCATCTGGGATGCACTGCATTTATGAAGTTCCCAAGTACAATAAATCTGCTGCCCTGTGGCTACTTGCTGTGCAGGAGAGGCACCAGGCGAGGGCTGCCCTGGGCTCCCTCATCCAGGCGACGCAGAATCTACCATCTCTGCTCTCCTTGCCCACTGCATCCTGGATGTATCAACTTGCTTTTCACTGCTTGTTCTTTAGCTACTTGTTTTTCGCTGAAACAGTGGTATTTTAGTTGAAACATCTCCTGTTATAATAAACAGGAACATTAAAAAATCTGTATGTACCATTAGAGCATATTTATATAGCAACCTGTTGCAGAGCACTGGTGTAGTTCTCAGCTTTATCTAGTCCTTGGTGATACTGAATAGAGCAACCATTGTGTTTTGATCTCTCAGAGATCAAAGACAACAAAAATACTCTTCAGTGTGCCAGAAAAATAACTACTGCTTTTGCTTACAATGACTTTCAAGGCAGTTGTTTGATAATTTCACCGTTTATATTAAACGTTACTGGTTTCTGAAATTATACTGTATTCTGAATCTGAGAATAACACTTGGTGCTATGAAATCTCTCCATTTACTCTTCATTTACTAATTTCAGATAAGTACACAGCTTGACAATCAGAACTTTCAGAAAATGCCCTCCAAAATCAAACAATAGTAGAAGAAACACATTCTAGTGCATCTTTGGCCCAAATTTCAACAGAGCATGTGTGCAACTGCATGTGAAAAACTGCACTGGGTTGTTTGTATGGCCAGCTTCAGCATTTCAGATGTAAAGACAGAGAATTATTTATTGGGCATTTCTTTGTACAAAATGGTTTCATATAGAGCTCTTATATTTTTAAACTAGTATTATTCCTAGAAATCTTAATCTATTTCTCAATTCTTTCCTTGTGCTTTTAAGATGACCAAACCTCAAAAGTTGTTCTCAACTTCTGTCTTTATATCTATAGCCCATTGGCTTCATTTATATAGACAGTCCTAGGAACTTAAATCCAGCGTTCAGAAACATTTAGTTCTATTTTTAAGAATTCTATGGATTCGTGTTAAAATGACACTAAAGAAATATCAAAGCAGAACATTCAGAGGTATGGGAAATTCAGTGGGGATTGCAGTGTGCCTTCCCCCTAACCCCCCCCTTTTTAAAAAAACAAAACAAAACACAACACACAGGAAAAAATTCCAAACTATAATGTCCCCTTTTGTTTAGATTACTGATTTTCTTCTGACCCATCACACAGTAGAAACCTGAATCAAAAGTGTTAGAAAGCTCATGGTTTTCCATATGTTCATCTTATTATTACACACCCCCCCCAACCCCCCCCATTTAAAAGCTAGTGGAAGCATGGACTAGAGTTACTCAATTGTTGTAAGCTTTTAACTCAAAATGTACACTCACATAACTAATATCAGAACTTCATTTTGTGTCTACAGTACACTAACTTTTTTTTTCAGATCAAAACTAATCAGGTTTTTGTGAGTGTGTACAATATATATAGCAAAGAGACTTCCCTTTGACAACTTCAATACATGGAATATTGTTTAAAAAAAAAAAGAAAAAAGAAAAGGAGGCTAACCATTCCAGAACTACAGACAATGGAATGTAAACTTTATTCTGACTTTGTTTAAAGGGGTGCCAATTACAGTACCCCTGTAGAAAAATGAAATAACCTGATTAATACATACCAGGCCGACACTAAATTAACATAGTCAGAATCTTAATGTTTCAGTTACCACGCAACTATATGACCTCTTTGATCGTGTAACTGAGTTCCCCAAAGAGAGATGCACTGATTAAACCCAAACCATTAATTTGCTTTAGGAATAGAGGTGCCTGCTGTTTACATTTCTCACAGCAGTTTCAAAGCTGTCACTTCTTGTATTTCCTGTTGTGCCTCAGAGAAACAAAACTAATCATTTTTTTTGAGTCCCGAGGCTTCTGGTGACTAGTTGCACAATGATTTCATTTCTCTGATTCTCTCTGGCTGATCATAACAACGTGGCGAGATTTGGTTTCTCTCATCTTTCTATAGAAACTGCCTGATTGTAAGACCTGCAAGTGTGGTTCACCGCTATGTAAACCTCAGCTGGCCTTCCTACAGATTGTACTAACAGGTCTCACAACAGTGAAGTGCTAAACTATAAATTAATTTCCACAAGTTCTATAATTTCTTCGTATTATTTTGTATTACTGATTATTTTCATATTGAAATTATACTGTAACACTAAGCAGATGCTCTGCCATTTTAGCTGTTACTTTCCCTTCATATTTAATGATAATGGTAGTTACTGTAACCGAGGTGATGAAAATGCATGTTGAAATGAAAGCCTTCATACTGAAATGTAACTAAAAAGAGGTTCAAATGTGTCACTGGTTTAGGTAATGACTTAACGTGCCTCAGCTTGTTCCATTTTACTGCCTTTTTCTCCCTCAAATTGTAACTGTTGTCTGTTCTCCATCAGTTTCATAGATCAAATTTGGTAACGTTGCCGATTACATAGCTCCTTTAGCAAAAAAATATACATGACTCATACTTCACAGAGGTCTTACTCCTGAAATTACAGCACTTATATTTTTACAGCTCAGTTAATGTTCTCATTGTATTACTGTAGATGAAACCCACCTGACCAAAGTATTTTTGAAATGTGGTAAAAAATGCACATATTCTATAGCACATTTATCCTGAAAATGTTATAGCATCGAGAAATGTTCCAATGCAAAGAAAGGAAACAATAATTATTATGCTCTAGAACTGCATTTCGTAGTCTTTTGTGAGACAAAATTGCCATTGCTTTCAATGACAGTTTTACCTAAAGAAAGACTAATAACTGTAAAATATGCCCCACATTGTTTCCTACACATATTAATTGCAGACTACTATTTCACAAATAAAAATAAGAATGTAATACTCAGGAACACAGCTACAACGATGAAGAAATAGTCCTCAATTATGTAGGTTTCTAATCACGCAGGTGAAATCACACACACCTTAACAGACGTCTTTTGGAATATGACAAAAATACGAGGTATTCTGCGTCTTTGCATTTCTAATGTGATTTCCCTGACTGATAACAACACAGTCTACACATATTATGTCAGCGCCAAGAAAACAGGAATGTATGTGTCACAGACTATTTGACTTCTAGTCCCATTTGGGAGCAGTTTGCTGAAGACCATTTGATATATCATCATTCGTACAGTCTCATAAGACATCGCTTCGCTAGACAGCCAGCAATTTCACAGAAATGCCCAGTCTAATACGGATACTTTAAAAATCTTGCACCTTATAGTCTATTCAGCTGTTGCTTTGGTATTTATTTATTCAAACAGGTGCGATGCTGGGTTAGCCAGACTGTCCGCAGAGCATAAAATTACGTATGAAAGACTTCAGAGCCTAAGTAAAGACCAGCACACCTCCAAGCTGATCTTAGAATCCAAAATCAAAGAGGCAGAAATACAGGTATGGTATTTGGACCAAAGCGATCCATGTATGGGTAAGAGTTACAGTCTAATTCATAGACTCCATTACTGTTAATTACTATCCTGGGAGGTCACAGATTTACAAATGGAGAGGTGTATCTGCTCACAGTCCTTATTAGATTGAATACTGGTACCTAGCTGCAGTACTGCTCTGGTCTAACTGAAAAGAGGTCCTTAATTTGCTGCCTTTAGCATGCCATGTAGAAGGGGCTAGTAATAAAGGCACCTGAAAGGACTCCAGGAATGAACAAAAGTCGGTAATTACTGGCCTGAATGGCTTCTTCAGGGTGGAATGTGAACATGTGACATGGATGCTCTACAAAACTACCACAACAATGCAAGCATCAGTCTCTCCCTCTATGTTTTGGCCTTCCCAGGATGAGTTTATATGTATTTCAACACAATTTTTGAAGGTCTGCACAACAAAACCAGTTTTGGGTTCTGTGAATCCATTAATCTGTCCGTCAGGTTTCTCTTCCATTGGGTATGAGAATGGAAGTGAGCACTAGATACAAGCAGAGACTTAAGACATTAAGGAAAAGGATTCTTCATACCTCCACCTCAAGACCTTCCTATTTTCTTGGGCAACAAAAGTATTTTACATCTTCATTTTGCGGTAGGTAAATGGTTAAAATCCTCTTTACCTTTCTCGGAAGATTTGGTACAGTATATTAGCTTGCAAGGAGCATACGGTCACGAATCTTGTAAAACAGAACAGTGTGGTTTGTAAAACTGGGATGATTGTTTTGGTGAGAAATATTTTCTGTTAGTAATGACCTACCCTCAGCTAAATCCAGCATTTTTATCACTGCAGTAGCCATTATACATGAAGTGATGAAGAATATCACTCAGTACTGGTGGATTGCTTTGCCATTCATTTACTCTGCTTATGTGGCAACATGGAGATGTATGGATCACGTAAATTCAGCTCGCTCAAGGGGGGGGAACGGGCAGATGCTTTCAAGGCAAGACTGTTCAAACTCTTTATGGCTGAAAAATTACAGTTTTCACAATGTTGATACTTTCATCTTGTGAGATAGTATATTTTTCATGATAAAGTAAAATGTGCAAATTCGGTAATTTTTGAAATGTCAGCAAAAATGGCCCTTCTTTAAGATCTTCTCTACCATTATGAAAACGTCCCAAATGAGACTGTGATGAAATGCTACTGAGAAATAGTAAATTCTGAATTTCGTTTCAGATTTCTCATCTTCTGAGCAGAGTAGAGCAATCAATAATGCAACAAGAAGCGAAGCTGAAGATTGCCTACAAAGAGAGTAACCAACAGCTCCATCTTCTGGATATGAAGTGAGTGCCTGGGAAACCTTGCTGCTGCCACGCACCTAGGAAGACAGGGCCACAGGGCCTCAATTTTCCAAGCTTGACTGTTGTAATCTTCAGATCTACAAAAGCATGAACCTGTTTAAATATATACGTGTGCTCAACAGCTAGTACAAAAGCACAATGTGAGACTCGCTTTCCACAAGAATTCTGCCCCTAATGTGGTTAGGCAATTTTGAAAAGCCCATTACGTCCCTTTGGCTTCAAATATGAATATATAATCCAAATACCTAAATTATTAGCAATAAGCTACTGTGCTCCTACTAGACACTGTATGGGGATATATTCAGTTCAGATATTAACTCCTCTCCAGGCATTTCACTCAGTGGCCGTCCTGGCTTAAGCCACCTACATCCTTACTCCTTACTGCGCACTGCCATCCTCACACAATCCCATCAGTTATGTCAGTGAAACTGTTTGCAAACCAGATGAAAGAATACATCCAGATTTCAAATATTCACTGGGAGAAAACACTGCCTAAAGAAACAGTTTTACTGGCACACCTGGTTGGTGTAAACTTGAGGCATGTATAGGCAACATAAGTGGGGCTATATGAACCTGCATTGCCACTAAAGTAAACGGGTACCAAATCTTTGCTCAGATTTAAGACCTATGGACACAAAGATTATAATCTGAATGGATGACCACATTCTGTTTTCAATGCTGCAAAGAATTTGCATCTAATATGCCTCAAAATGTCATAATGTGTTTCATATAAATAACTGCTATTTTGTTGTGCTCTTTCATCCTTATTTTCTAAAACAATGTTACCTTACCCAGTTTAGCAGCCTTAAAGTTCAAAGATTCACCTTAATATAGTATCAAGAATGTATTAAATTGTCATTAATTTTTTCATGAACATGTTCATAAAAAAGTCACTGCTGAATGACCAAAAGTTCTGCTCTTTTGTATCTGCTAATTTCTATTATGCTCTTAGATTAAAAAATGCTATTGAGGAACTCAGCAGCCAGATTTTGTCTGCACGTAGCTGGTTGGAACAGGAACATGAAAGGATTGAAAAAGAGCTTGTGCAAAAAATTGACCAACTCTCATTGACTTTTAAGGAAAACACTGTAAGTTGCATTAAAAGGTCCTAATAATACCTCTCATGAAGTATTCAAAAGCATTAGTAATAACCTAGATGATGTCATTGAGATATTATTTGAGTGAGATTTTCAGACCTCCTCAATATTTGTATAACTTTTTCACTGATGTCAAGTATAACATCCCCACAGCCTGACAGTCTTCAAATAAATCTGATCACTTCTAGATAGATCAGTATTTTAGTCTACAGTAATTAAGTCAGTTTAAACCATTTTATAAAAAAATTATATCATCTTACACGTTTGAATTCCACATAAAAGATGATTCATCAATATCTATTGCATGTTTGGGACAGACCACTGTAAATTCATATGCAGAGTAAATCATTAGAATTCTTTTTCCCGGCTCCAGGAAATGAGCGAAAGAGCTATAGAGATGAAATTCAACCAAATGGCAGAGAAAATTGACAAAATTGAAGAAATACAGAAGATAACCATGGAAGCACATGAAGCAAAACAGACTGAAGAAAAGATAAATATTCGCATTGGCAAACTTCAAAACGAGATAAATGAAGATATAAAAGAAATGAAAGCTGAAGTTAATGCTGGTAGGACCATAGTTATCAAGTTCTTTATTCTGAATTGTGGTAACAATGATTGACCTATAATAACATGCAAAATGCCTTTGCTTACATGGAAGCAGTTTAAAGACTTCGGGGCCAGATGTAATGGCTGCACCTGTGGCATTAAAATGGATTTTCACTAAGTGTGAAATTCACAGCAACAAGAGGTGACATCTTATTAGCTTGGAAGTGCTCTCCCTGGAGCACACATAGGCCCAGCTGGCTGCAACTGGGGGCGGTTTTGCCATCAGCACTCAATTACAGTCCTATTTGTCTTCAGAACTTTTGATATCTTCCTAGGGCTAAGCAGAGCGTTATGGTAGGAAGCACATTCTGATAGTAATTATGTGATACTCTTGCTTTTGATTATGATCTAATTTAATTCTCACCTGCAATCAGGGTTTGCAGCTATCTACGAGAGCATTGGGTCTCTACGGCAAGTTCTAGAAGCAAAAATGAAGCTGGACAGAGATGAACTCCAGAAGCAGATCCACCAAATGAAGCAGGAAGTTCCAACATGGGGAGAGGCTGGACCATGACTGCAAGATTTGGTCTGAGAGAGTAATGATTACCTGGCTAAATAGGCAGACTATAATCTTGTTCCAGTCTGTAATCCAAATTAAATGCATGTACCAAATGACATGCTGCTGTTGCACAGGCCCATAAGTTTGCTTGGAGCAGTAAATGCAAGCTCTTCACAGACCAGCTGACAACAAGCTTTTACGGGCTGAAGTGCTGATTTGCCACTGCACTACTCCAGTTGCTCTCAGGAGATTAAGCACCGTGTAAAACTGGAGTAATATATTGGTGAAGCTGGCACCTAATTTGCTAAAGGCATTCCAGTGCTCCCCAGTTTCACAGGCTTGATCAGGCAGGTATACACTTTTACATATATATAAAAGCACCTGTACACCACAAACAACCAAACAACAAACAAGTTGATATAATTTGTTCACTATCAGTTTGGCAAGGTTCTCCACCTTGATACAAATTACTTAATTGACAATGGAAGTTTCTATAGTGACTTTCTCTACTATTGACTTCCTGGGGAGACAGAATTGGCACTAAACAGACCAATTTTCAAAACCAAGATACCATCAGAACATCTTCGTTAGTTTTGCAAATATACATGTGTGTGCGTAAACTAAGTAGTGTTATAAAATGTAGTTGTAGACTAAGATGACTCATGAACAACATAAGAAACTTAACTCACGTGGTCTTAAGTATTGTGACCTTTTTAAATTAATAACCAAGTGGAGTTGAGACAAGGTAAAAGATGTATATAGAGTATTTTATAACTGGGCATGTGTTTCTGTGACTTGTTTCATTATATTGGTAAAAATTTTCAAAGGTTTGAAAACAAAAGAGGAGGTGATAATCTAACATAGTCTGGAGAATGTAACATAAAAATAAACTGCAGTTTATGATCTGCTTCAAAATTTTTATAGAAGTCAAACAACTGATTCTTCAAATTTAAGTAGACTTTAATAATTTAGTAGGTTCAAATTGCTAATTGCATTCACAGTATTTCCAAATAATAATGGTGCTTATTTCCATTCCCAGAACAGATTACATAATGAAAGTCAGCACCCGTATGACACATTAATCTAGAAAGGAAAAAAGACATATATAGATTTTATATCTTCATTCATGGCTTGATACGGCTCCTCATGTTTGTAAGTCATGTGGGATTAAGCACTTATGAAGAATAAAACACTTCATCCAGTATCCTATTAATTTATACTATTAACAGTAATTCATATACTATTCAAATACTATTAATTGACAGAAGCATTACTGTTAACATAAATAAATTAATAGGATGTCTCTGCACTTTCTTTAATGGACCTGTCTTTTGGCCAGTACTGCAAAACTATATTCTTATTTGGAAAATCAGTGGCCAATTTCTCATCACTTCATGAAAGGAAGTTTGGCCCATGAAGTCACTACATTACATAAATAAATAAATAAAAGAATTGCTCCGAAAACTTAAACTCATTAACTTCAGTAGGACAGTGTAGTGTGTAAAAATCAAGAAAATGCATACATCTTTACAGGATTAGCACCTAAGTTTGTATTCACTTCCTATATAGTTGAAAGTAATTTAATGTATCAAAGATACGTGAAGTTTTTGCTACTCTGGCTTCCAATGCTCTCTGATAACAAAACTGCCTCTTTTATTCCTGTTTTGTATCATCCGTGTGCCGTGAAATATATTTACAATGGCAGCTAAGGGGAAAGCCCAGTTCACTGAAGGGAGACAATGAAATGCTTGCAGATATTTCTTAAGAATTGTCTTAAAAATTCATTCTTTCTTCATATCTGTATTCTTATCTATTCTTCAATATTTAGCCATGTGCAGTCGAAAAGCTATCACTGGTATTTTATAAAAAAAAGAACAAAGAAAGAAGCAAAAAGAGACAGAACAAAAACCCCACTTTTTTTTGTGTCTGTAATTGGAAATCTGTACCTGAGAGAATATGGTATGATATGAAGAGCATACAAGGAAACAGAGAAACAGTTTATATAGGACTTAAATAAAGTGTTTCTCTTGTAAAAATCTGGTGTGATTCATCCGGATATAAAACAACACATAAAACCCTATCCAATTTTACTTCTGCTGTCTTGAAAATATTTTTTCCTAAATCTCAGCTAGAGCAAATAACTAAAAGCTCAAAAAAGCCAATATTGAAACGCGAGCTACTGACAAGCAGCACCTGCAAGCTATACCCAGTGCTGTGCGGAAGGAGGCACAGGTTCCGGGACTCATCCTGGGAGGAGCGAGCCAGAAATGGGGAGCTAGTCCTACACGGACACGCATGAGCGCAGCCTGCCCATCGTCCAGCCTTCCCACCCAGTGCTCCAACTGGGCAGTTGCAGAAAGTGGCACATATTCCAGTCATAAGGGTTCTGCAGAAAAACTGAGGAAAAGCCAGAATGGAAAAAAAGTAATATGAAGAAAAACTGAAAAATCTGGGGAAGTAACAGAGAAAAAAAGTAAGTCAGAAAAGTGGAGCAATTGAACAATAGCTGCATCGGCAGAGGCAAGGAAGAGTAGCTACCTGATGATGAAACACAAAACAGGTTTGAAGATTTTAGAAAGAGCTGAAGGTACACGCAATAATATATTTGATACAAAACACAGAACCCAGAAGAATGGGCTCATTAATTGATTTGTCACAATTCAGGCTCCCTACTCGCCTGCTGCATTTTACTCTGCTTGAACAATTGGGAAAGTAAATTGGTTTGGTTTATTCTTCCTTCAGTGACTTCCCTTTTTTTTTTTTGGTAATGTTTTCTGTAAAAATAGGTCAATAATATCTTCTCTGCATAGCCTGTCAGGGAGTGCTCATATCTGATAAGTAACGGCTGAATTCAAGGGAGAATTAGCATCCCTGTATCTTTCAATTATCTTACAGTTTTATGGCAAAATCCTCTCCTCGGAAACAGCATGCCCCCAGTGGGATAACTGTGACACTAGAAGAACAGTACTACAGACACGATGGCCTACGAAAGCTGGATTTTGCAAAGTGGAAACTCATTCTGAAAACTGACCTGCAGAGATCCTGTAAAACCAAACAGAAGGAAATAGCTGTGCTTGAAAGCAGAGTTGTCCCTTCATCTTTTCTTTCCATGCTGGTCTCCAGTGGGATTCCCGTGCGATGGTCCTTCAGGGATACAGCGGGCTTCTGATGGTGGCAGTAATGCGCTTTCTTTGCTCAACACAAGTACTCATGCCACGAGTCACTCTCTATATTGCACCAAACAGGGTGCCAGAGCCCACAAACAGGAAAAGGTAGTGAGGAGAGGCAGTGTTGTTCTGGATGGCACTCAAGCAAACAGAATGAGACTTAGTGTATTTGGGAAGGTATAACACCAAATATGCACAAAATACTATTTAAAACACAAAGTACAGTGACATAACCATAAACTAAAGGAAGGACAGAGAGGAGCCTTCAGAAGCCACCTGCTCTATCTCTCTGCTTCAAGACAGGGTCAAGTCTACCTAAAATATTTGTCATAGACACTTGTCTAACCTGCTTACAAAAATCTTTCAAGAATAATCCATTGACTAATAAAGTCTATTCCAATGCTTAAAGAACACTGCCCTGCCACCTGAACACCTAACCTAAATGGACTTTTGATAGGACAAGACATAATGAGCTTAAATTTCAAGCACGGAAGACACAAAACCTAATTTATTACATTCTTCCCTGCATGTCCATTGATTTTTTTTAAGGCAACCTGTGTTTTACAGAAGATTCAGATGAAGTTTTACAGGGATCTTTGCTCAATATTTCTTAAACTTTTTTCTCCTTCCTACATCTCTGGAAAAAAAAAACAAAACAAACCAACAAACCCCCCCCCCAACCAAAATCCACCACCAACAAAACCCCAAACCAGCCAAAAGCAGACCACTCCCACTCATGAAGTTTCAAAATCTTTCTTTTGTCAGCTATTTAGCATGCACGAGGCTTAAACCACTTGCAGTGTGCAGACCATAGTACTCAGTCAGCTATGTTGCCTGAATGACACAGCAGCTGTCAAAGGATAAATTCATTAAAATATTTTTAACTGGAGTTGATGGCTTTTACATTAGCATGTGATAACACAGTAGAACTATCATACTGTGCAGTGAAGGACTTAACTGGAAACAGAGTTGTGTCAGTAGTTACAGAGCAACTGCATTATTTAGACTCATTAAGCAAACCGAAGTGATGATGCAAGTAAGAAGTTAAAAGGATGATCCTAACTTCAACATCTAACTGTTTATGTAGTAAGTTTATATTGTGGATATGTTGTCAGTACACCGATATAGCTCAGTGGGGGGTTTCCACGTTAGAGAAAAACAGTAAGACAGTATGAAAGATAATGAACAGCAGTATACTCCTGTAACATCAATTTAAACTGAAATGTAATCTTTTCTTCTTTTCTCAATTTCCACATTTCCTGTACTTAGCCATCAGGGTCAGAAAGTGTTCTCTGTATCTTAGAATTGAAGTGTTCATTAAACATATTCCAATAATGGAAACATCTAATGAGGGACACATGAGAAATCGATGAAGCCCTCCTACACATAGAGGAGGGACTCCTCCTGTGATACTCCCCATAGTGTAAGAAATTCAGAGGCAAATTTGAAAGAAAACTATAATGGAAATTCAGTGCAACTCCTCTACTGAATTTGCCATAGGGTGTCACTGTTACTCTTGGCAAGTAAGGGAAGATGCTCACTGTATCTGTGTGATCCATAAATGTCGCAATAGCAGCGAGATGTGTCTGGAAGTATCTAACAATATTATGCATTTTGACAAAAGGAAAATAAAAAAAGAACATTCTAAAGATACCACTCTGTAAAATCTCAATAAAGGCAGATGTTTAGTTAAGCAAAATTCTCTGAGGGTGACTATGATAAGTCTTGTAGACAACATGCAAGGAATGTTGAGTGGGGACCAAAGCTCTCTGCTGCCTCTTCTGTAAGCAGAACTTTGGTCAACACAAAGCATAAAAAAACCCCCAAACCCAGAAAAAAATTCAGGGGCAGTTCTTCTAAAGCATAAGACCTTCAGTTAAACAAGGCTCAACAAGCAACATGCATTTCACGTTGACTCTCCCAGGAGCTGCTGCAGATGCGCAGAAGAGGTTCCTCTCCCAGCACTGTCTCCCCCTCCAAGACTGACTGGCTGAAAGACCACAGGAGAATCTGAACAAGTACTACCAGATGAAGCTCTGGGCCTAGCACAAAAAGCTGCTCCCAATCCATGCAAGGATTATCTTGATAAATAATACAGTGGAATAGTCTCAAACATTGCAAAATATGTAGGAGAGCCACAACTTTTGCTGACATAGATGAGTGAAAAAGTGCTTTGAGCTCAGCAGAGCATCAG